CCCTCGCGGCTTGGATACTGATGTACAAGATGGTGTTTAACCAGTGTTTACAGCGTTGGCGCATTTATCGAAAGGGGCATAAGCCTGCTTGCATATGGGGTTGCCTGTGGCGAGTCCACAATCTTATTCAAGGATCGTCGCGAGCTGCAAAAGGGTCAAGATCCTCAAGATGAGGCCTTTCAAAAAGCAGCGGGCCTTCCTTTCAGTTACCAGTTAGCCTAATATCGGCGGCCGAAACGCCTGGCGCCGGGGGAGATGAGACAAGCTCGCACCAATAGCCGCGCACCCCGCTGCAACACGTGTTGCATCACAACTCCACATGCATTCACGGCCAAGCCATAGTGCTCCATGCACTACCACTAAAGACAATTGTTGAGCACTTACATGGCCGTCAGTTGCCAGCCTGCACGCGTTGGAATGTACAGACCAACTCTACACAGACAACGCTTTACCACGGGCCTTGGGGAGGTGGTAGAAAGCCGACTGAAACGATTTAAAAAGTACAGCGCTGCAGCTAGTGTTGTGAGACAACCATATATACAGGCCAAACCAAGCCCTTCTTGCTGCGTGCTTTAGCGCTGTATGCATTATGTTCTGTGTGAATGTGGTATGTGTATATGTACCTGCGTGCAAGATGCCTACCATGGGCTAAATACGCGCTCGACAATTGTATATAGTGCTAGTACATGCATCAAAGGGGGCCTGTGGAGGGGGGAGAGCAAGCAGCTTGACGTGAGTTGCACCGCACCTCGCGGCGACACGCCATGCAGGCAGTCTGCCCTCCAGCGGTCACATGCCCTTGCGAATCATGGCCCTGGACGTCTGTGTGNCAAGAGCAAGGACTATCGTTATATTGTACACCATTTCTGGAGGCATACTTGACCCTCAGCAGCCAAATTGCACTTGCACAGAAACGAATGTGACAGCTTCAGACAGAGCATGTGGAAGATTTAAACTTGAGACGGACGCGTTCGATGTGCAGAGGACGCATGCCAACGCCGTACCGGCGCCTGAACTTTTGCGTGAACTAGAATCTCTTGAAGGAATAGAGCTCTTGTGGGAACTAAACCGTATGAGAAACAAACATGCTTAGCAGAAGAGCACCACCAGAACCTCACGACCAGCCGAACACTCCTTCATTTCGTGACCACAAGCCAATGGAGAGCCTACAAAGTTTTGCCGCAGTACGCGGTTCGAAAGAACACATGCTTCTCCATAACTTCTGCGCAAAAACATGCTTTTAGCAAGAAAGACTGCATATGTTGCAAAATTCGTGGGGTTCTAACTGCTTGCCTATACACCACCGCTCGCTCGCGGACTGTAGTGTGCACCAGAGGGACTGTCGCTGCGTCAGGCCCACTACCGGGGGGCAGTGACAGGTTCGAGCGTTAGGTGAGCGTCCACATCTGCCAAATGTTGGTTTCTGTTCTTTGAATGCGAATTTGTGGTACTTTCTTTTTGTAGGGCTCTCGAATTGCAGGTTGTCCCGGCGCCTCTATCTTTCTTCTACGGAGTTGTGGGGACACTTTCAGTCGGCGGAGTCCCCTCATCATCACCGTGCCGTTTTGCCAGGCCTTCTTGCGTTTGCTATAATTATTCATACTCAATGCCTTGCTTTGCTTAATGTAATACAAGGTAGAAATTACAGGGGTAGACCATCCCAGCCTTCCGGTCCACCGCACTTCCGGGGAAGCGCTGTGAGAGGGGACAAGGGCGTGAAACAAAATTCCGGTTGATTAGCATGCAGTGAGACAAGTTCTATCCTCGGTAAATCCTACCACGTGAGCCTCACATACCTACTGGTGCAACTTACAAGGGTATCAATCGTCATTTTCCCGCCCAACCTGGGCCGGTGGCGCTAGACCAGTACGAGCCGCGCGCGTATTGATCGTACCCACTTTAGGCCCAATATCTTAACGCCCAGGCTAACCAGCTTCTACGCAGATTTGAGGTTACATGAGAACCTGGACAAGGTTTTCTGAGTGACAGGTAGGGACTCCGATTCTCTTCCTTGCGGCAGCAGTCCGTGGCGTCGGGGGCGAAACGTGAAGATGGATTTGAAGGGAGACCCAGGAGAGAAGGGAGCGCAAAGTAGCGCCTTGGCTCCCCAAGCGCATCCGCCTAACCTGTTTCGCCATGCTGGCCACGGAGACGGCGATTTGATGTCGACGACTCTTGCGGCTTACGAGGGCCCAGGAATGGAGAACAATTCCAACGTTTTCGGAGGTGATGTCAAGCTGAGCAAGGGGATTTTCACCAGCGCACGCGCCCGCGCATTGTGGGTTGGTATCGCAGCCACACTGGCCATATCGGCGATAGTGTTCCTGTTACGGCAGTGCTCGGCTGGCCTGCGCACACCGCAAGGGAATGTAACTCGGCGGCTCGCAAAAGCACCGCCGAAATCTTATAGGCCTGAATGCTGGCCGGCTGAGGTAAAACATTAGGCAGCTTAGTCGTGGGAAACTACTTAGGCTCGAATTTAACTTGAAGACGACGGCGAGATGCTTCCAACACCGTGCACATGTGTAGATGCCTGACGAACAGGTCGTGATGGCCCAAGGTTTAGAGATGCACCACTCTCTTCAGTAGTCCCCTTCACCATGCCGATAAATTGTCGTGTTTGCTTTATATGCCCTATCTTAGAAAGATCTCTTGAACGCTCTTGAATTGTTCTGTTTCTTTGCGGAATATTACGCCTGCCCAGGACACAGAGACTGCGGAAGAAATAATGACCAGAACAAAGCAATGGTTGCTTTCAGACCAACGTAAGAGAAAACGTCTCGATGAGTGAATAGAGGCGATAATTCGTTGAGTCAAGAGCAGGTAGAGCAACCACCGATGTGGTGGACGCATCTAAATGAGCAGCACCGCTCTCTTCAGGAGGTTTTCGTTGGGATGAATGCATCGACAACACTTGTTTGGAAGAAGTGCACTTTGTATTACGTGCGCTGTGCCTTCAGTAAAAGATACAACATTCAAGACTAGCAAGTTTGTAGTGTATCTGGTGGTTGACCAGCAGTGCACCGAACCAGATCCAGTAAGTAGGAAAAATGTAGCAAGTGGCTTGCGCCCAGCTCATATCTTCATATCTACGCACATAACACTAGACTCATTCAGGACCACGCCTTTACTTGTGTGTTGAGCTTCAGGAAGTGGAATCCAACCGCAGAGTGAGTCGCCTAGCCGTTCCGGAGTCGTTCATTCAAGTGGAACGTTCTGGGTGGTAGGTGCGTAGCTCTTGTTCCGTATTACCCTCTGCACGTTACTGCAAAATATAAGGAGTGTCGTCTTCAGGCCCTCGCTGCGGCTATTGGAGGCCTGAAAGATGAAGTGGCTGCACGGCTTCCGCTTGTTGAGGCGGGTTCTCCGATCGGTAAGCCTGCGCGTCAACCTGTGCCCTGCGCCTATCTCAATAGGACGTACTTCAGTATCTCTCTGGTGCTTGCTCTTGTCTTAACTTGGAAAAGGTGTCCGAAAGTCTGACTAACCCGCACCCGACGTAATCACACGCCTGGTTTCTCTCCCAAGTAGTGAATGCTATTTGCCTTGCAACTTACAGAGTTGGAGCAAACAATTACCCACAGTCAAACGCTGAAAAGGCTTTCCGTTTGGATTCAAATTCGACTTGCGGAGGAGAGAGAGGTGAGCCATGTGAAACAACGCCATCCGCTGTGCCTGGTCTAAGCAAACAAGGCGGACGATTTTCCGGCGCAGAATGTGCAGACGACTGATGCAGTGCCGACGTTCATTCTGTTAGTTTGCGTTTCCCTGTCATTTGTGCTCTCTGTACTTCCAGATCCATATTGACACATCGGCTGTTCACGAATGGGCCACAAACTTTTTGGTAAACACAACAGGTAAACGACAACAGCGCTCGGGGGGTTGCGGGGGGGCGGAAGGAAGGGGCGGGGGAAGGAAGGGGCGCAACGAAAGCAACTGAGTGCGCGCAATGAGCATGCTGTTGTTGTGCGCCTCGGCCGTTCTCCATATTTGTAGCAACGGCGAAACCTGCGAAGAACCGCGTACAATGAGCTTTCTGTGTGCATTCTGCGCTCCTGTGCAGAGAAAAAGGCGGTACTACTGATGGGTACACGACTATTTAAGCTCAAATACAGCGGAAAGGTGAGTTTTCACACCGCGACAGCAACGGGTGAGAATTGTGCAGAGTGCAGTAGCAGCGTTGGAGGGTGCGAACACTGTGCCATGCGCTGGAAATTCTTTTGGCTGTTTTGTCGGGGCCGGTGGAGTCTAACAGTTGGAGCCGCATTTGCTGCGTGCACTACCAGCATTCTAAAGGGGTCAGGAGGTAGTATATGAGGTCTCCTCCTGCAGAAGGTGTGCAAGGATGTTTCTGGTTGGCTTGGCTGCCTTAGGGTGGACGTACACCGTGGTTACTTCGCCAGGTGCGCCTCCAGGAAAGGACAAAGGCGATGACCGTGCACCAGTTCCACATTGTGTCACAGCGACCTGCACGCGGATACTGAGTCAAGCACCCCGCATACAGAACGTCTAATTGGGCCATCCATTCTTCAAAAGGCTCTCCGAACATGAAGCTTTTTTGTTTCTGCAACTGTTGTGGACAGAAAGTTGCTGACCAACTCAACAGACGATGGTTCCGTGTCGAGGATGAAATTTTGAAGTCGGCTCGTCGGGCTGAAAAATCAGGTCCGCAGTAGAGTCCACCAATTTTTATGGCTCTGTTGGGGTTTGGAGTATCTTGTATATCCTTTTGACAGGGTGTTTATGGCTGCAGCTTTGGAAGTGTCGGCGACATTTGAAGGAAAGCACGGCACCTTGCGCCTTAAAATGCGTGAGGCGAAGAGGGGCGAGGTGAGCTGCCGTCGACTGGAACGAAGCAGAACGAAGCTACTATTAGCTGTGCGGCTTGGGTTTCACTTGCTTGCGGGTGCACAAAACTAGACAACCGTGTTCAAAGTGTGCAGCGAGATCTTTTTAGTAACTTCTGGTAAGACCGCATATATCGGCGCGTGTTGCGAAATAGGGAAAAACGCTTAAAGGCCAATGGAGAAGAGATTCTACTGGGGGAGATTCGTGGCCGTCCACTAGAGGTCTGTAGGACAATATAGCATAACAGACAGTGCCCTCTCAATGGCCACTTTCGGGGTCTAGTATAGTCTGGAGGGCACATCGAAACGTCCAGGGCCTTGTTAATAATTCTGCTGTGATGTTGGGGCGCGAATGTCAGGCTCTTCGGGACATGGAAGTCTGCGTGACCTCTCTAGACTAGGTTAGCGGAAAAGGAATGTTGCAAGGTTGTAGCTTGCTGACAGCTGCAGAAACAGATGATAGACAACGTAGCGTAGCCTACTCAGGCGAGGAAAACGCTGGAAGAACCCTAGTGCCGTTCGACGAGCGATTAAATTTCAAGAAAGATAATCAACCGCATTGTAAGCTGCAAACCTTCTGTCATCACCGCCCGCGGGGTGGATTTTGCATTCAATTTGTGCGCAGGTTCGGCAACGCCTGATCCATGGAAACACCCGTCAGGTGAGCGAATGACTGATTCGGCATTCGGCTCGTCAGCAGTTGCTGCAGCTCTCTTCATCGGGTGTGGCTGTCATAGCGTTTTACTAACCTCATACTTCTTTTTGGACCAGCGGCGCATAGTTATTTACGTGTGCAGTTAAGTCCGTTCGTCAGTTTCTAGGATGCATGAATGCGTGTCCTTGACGAGTACTACGGACGCTCTACAGACAACTACAGTGTCGATTGTTAGTATTTTTGTGCAGGCTCTTCTTCGCTCCCGCGGACTACCACGGGTAATTCTACTACCGCAGTTTATTTGCTCTCTACCCGGCTTAGAGTAGCAAAAAAAATTGCACCACATGTCACTTCTTCAGCTGTGCTGTTTTGGAAGTTCGCCTAATGCCGCAAACACGTTCGACGAGCAACAATGTTCCTGGGAAGAAGGGCAGCCTCGCTGCAAACATGCTGCACCCTCTATGCGAGCGTTGGGCTTTGCATTCAATTTGTCTGCAGATACGAGGCTGTCCCTGCCATCGTTGCCATTATCAGGTGAGTGTATTCTTGCTTTGGCATAGAGCCGGTCGTCACCCGATGAAGGTCGCTGTAAATTGGGCGTTGCTTTTGAGAGCTGTGTCACGCTAGCCTCACACACCTTTTTGGCGCAGCAGCACGTAGTGGTTTAATTGTGGCACCGAATCCGCTTCTCGTTCTCTCAAGTGCACGGATAAGTGGAAGAGGCCGTGGGTTCCTTGTCCTTGACTAGTACCGCGGACATTCTCCGGACAAATGCATTGTCGATTGTTGGGAATTTGTGCAGGGCCGTCTAAGCACCCGTCGCCCTCAACAGGTACTTCGACTCTTGGAGTGCATTCGCACTCTTCCCAGCTCAAGGCAGCAAGCGCAGCAGTAGTGCCAATCACTCTTGTTTTCCAGCGGTGTTGGTTTGGGCGGTTGCAGAGTGGCTAAAACCGCTCATTCAAAAGGCGACCAAATGTCTCAGCCTCTTTGCATCCTGCACGCGTGCTGCCTATTTTTCGCGTGTTGGGTTTCGCACTGAATTTGTGTGCAGAAGAAGGCGCGCCTGTATCATGGCCACCCCCTCCAGGTGAGCGAATGACTGTTTTGTCATATGGCCGGTAAGCGGCTCTTGTGGTAGAGTATAAGCAGGGTGTAGCTTCTGCAGAGCTGCGCCATCCTCGCATCAAGCTAGATTGGGGGCCAAGGCGCTTAGCCATTTGATCGTGCCGCTAAATCCAGTGCTCGATTTCTAAAGCACACTGTCTAGTGGGTTGCTTGTCCTTGACTAGCCCCTTGGACACACCACAGACAAGTGCGGTGTTGACTGTTGGGAACTTGCGCAGACCNTGTCCTTGACTAGCCCCTTGGACACACCACAGACAAGTGCGGTGTTGACTGTTGGGAACTTGCGCAGACCCGGCCACGCTTACGTGGGCTCCAACAGGTAATTTTTCTACTTCAGTGCATTTGCTCTGTATACTGTTCGAAGCAGCAAGCAAGGGACTAATGTATGCCAGTCTTGCTGTTCAGCCGTATTGTTTTGGAAGGTCGCTTAGTGCGACAAACGCGTTGTTTAAGGAGCGGATAAGTGTGTAGGGAGAGTGGTAGCCATCTTAAAAGCTGCACGCAAGCTGCTTGTCTTGCGTGTGTTGGAATTTGCACTGAATTTCTGTGCAGATGACCCCCCGCCTCCAGCTAGGACACGCCGGCCAGGTGAGCGAATGACTATTTGTTCACATGGCCGGCCGTAACCTCAGGCAGAGTATAAGCTCGGTGTAGCTGTTGCAGAGCTGCGTTATCCTCGCTTCACACTTGTTTTGGAGCAAATCGTGCTGCTGAATCTACTGCTCGATTCCTAAAACGCATGAATGGGGCGGAACGGCCAGTGGACTGCTTGTAACGAGCACCGTGGTCACTCGCCAGAGAACTGCAATGTCAATCGTTGGGAATTGTTGCAGGCCCGTCTACGCCGCTACAGCCCGCAACAGGTAACTCTACCACTTCAGTTCGCTTCCCGCCACACAGCTCGAAGCGCCAAGCACAACAGTAGTGCTCGTCACTCTGGTTCAGCTGTCCCTCTGAGGATCGCCTAAAGCCAAAGGCACGTTTCTCGACAGGAGATTATGTGCCTCGGGAGAGAGGCAATCTCTCTGCAAGCTGCAGAGCTGTCGCCTTCTTTGTGCG